GGTTAGTCAGTGTGGAGGTGGGGGCTATAAACAGACCTCTTCCTTCTGATTAGCGGCATCTTATTTCATGCTTTTTTTTAAGCTCCTTATCACACATCACATCTTACACCAACTCTTTATTTCACTCTTTGCACCTGCACTAACATTCCCCTCAGCAAACACACACACCTGGTTGTTGCGCAAGTAAATCGGACCTTGCAGCGTTGACAGCCATCGGTCAGCGTGCACTTTGTCATGACCAAGGGCGCTGTCGACGTACAGCTTGGAGATAAAGGAACCAATCACGGGTTTTTGTGCAAGTGTGCGTGTCTGTGTGTGTGTGTGTGTGTGTGTGTGTGTGTGTGCATGCATGTTTGTCAGGACAAACAGTGCCAAGCTAGCAGGGTCTGAGATAAAGACCTAATTGCACAGGGTGGTGTGTGAGCTCTGTGTTTGTGTGTGTTCACTTGAGTAGGTGTGAAGATAAAAATATGAGTGTGGAGGATAATGAGAGGCGGAGAGCAGAGAGCTTCATGCACTTTGTCTTTTCATGTCTCTTTGGGTCTATTACTCCATATTTACATACATCTGTACAGTTTCACTCAGAAGAATGACCAGATAATATACTGAAAGTAAAAACACCTGTCAAGTCCTCCTACAAACAGGGTTTCCCTCAGTGTATCATGAGCCTGACAGGCCACCAGGCTTTACTTGCCCTCCCCACCAGGACAAGTGTTGTTTGGTGTTTCTTTTTCTCCAGTACCAATGAGCGGATTAAGCCAGATTTACAGCCGATGCATCAAGCTGGATGTGAGGGCTGTGCACCAATTGCCCATTGACCTGACACACTTATTATTTCCAAATTATGATGCCTGCTTTTTCAACGTTTGTGACTTTTAACATTTCTTAACACAATAAACACGGGGGCCGCTGGTGGACTGCCCTGGCTCCCCTGACCCTGTGCTTAGCAGGGTCAAAGGGCAGCAGGTTGTCTGGGGGAAACCCAGTGTAAATATTGAAATATTTAGTCTGTGTGTTTGTAAGATGGGCCTCATCTTTGGACCACAGTTTCCACAGTAAAGCAGAGATTTCAGAAACAGCCATACTGGTCATTTCAACCCTTCTGTCTCATTGAAGTCCAATTAGGGGCAACACATGTCAAAAACTTACTTTCTAGCTCCTCATATTTGCAGTGGACCCCTGCCTATCCGTGGTTCAGTGTTCATTTATTTTTCTGCTGAGTGTAACTAAAAATATTCACCTATTTGTGGATGTTTTTGTAGAGGATATCTGAAATATTCAAAATAAGATAAATCTTTGGAAACTGGAATGCTTAGTTAAAATGCTACCTGACAGGCTATTGGCAAAGCAGCCAGTCCAGCAGGGCGTTTGTTTCTCCGAAGTTTAAAGATCATTTTAAAGAAGTTCACTTCAGTCAGACTGACTAATCTGCGCAAGCAAAGAAAAACAATATGGCTTTCAATAGGCAGTTTTAGGAACTTATTTTCCAACAGGACCAAAACAATCGAGCCAGATTGGCATCAAAAACCTGACATGCTTTATTAATAATTTTGCTTTACTTTCCTCCTAATTTTGCTGTGTTAAACTGTTGGATAATTTACATTATTTATTTATTTAAAAGTGATCATGGATCACTGACTGGCAGTTTCCATTCAGCCAAACACCTGCGATTCAGCCTCCAAAACGGCAGCCGAGTAATAATATCATGGAATAATGTAGTGAGTAAATTACCCATATGTCTGTCTCTCCATCCATCTGCCGGACTCAGTGTGAAGCTAAACTATGTTTCAGGTCACCGTCCAGATTGTGCCAAATTACAAACAATTACACACACACCCACACACACACACACACACACACACACACAGGCCAGTCCCTTTGCTGACAGAAGGGCGCTGAGAGTGGGTAATGAGAAAAAGGTCCTTGTGCATGAAAGCTCACGTCAGCATGCCAGCTTGAAACACACACACACACACACACACACACACTCTGACATTAAGCAGGTCAGTAACACCTTCATTAATATTAATATTAAATCATTGTTCAGCTCTTTTTCACCTGTTGTGACGTGGCTGTTTTCTGAGATAATCAGAGTTGCATAATTTACAGTTTTTTGACTTCGAGTCTTGAAGACCCCTTGATTGTACCGACACTGTGAAAGATGCCTTTCATTGTTTGGTGTCTGATGAATCTTAATCAGATTCTTCATGATAAAGCAATTATTGAAGTAATCGTCAACTAATTTAGTGTACAGACTCCAAAAAATTGCTGAGAGAATTTTGGCTGTAATTAAGCCAAAATTCTACAAAAAATACATGCATTATGCATTTAAGATGACAAAACAATATTTGTTTGTAAATATTTTCTACCCAGAACTCCTCAGATTTCAGTTTTAGCTTCATCTTTAAGAAAATTAATTAGTAATCCAAAAACTCAGCTCTGCTCTGCAGAAAGGTTTGAGCATGTGAGAAGTATTTTATAGCTGCAGATGCATCCTTTTCTACAAATGGTCAAGCGTTCACTAATTAATGCTGTTACTGCATTTCAGGTAATAAATTATATATTTTTTTTATTTAAAAAGGGAAATGAAACATTTGTTGCATCTTTTAATGCATTTCTAACACATATTAAAAAGGCTTAAATGAAAAATCTGAAGACTGTGCCAATTAAAATAATCACTGGTTGCAATGCTACTTACAGATATTCATTTCTGCATCCCCAATGATCTCCAGCGGGTATGGAGATTATTTGCCCTGTTTGGGTTCATCGTTCTGTTCGTGACCCAGTTTGGGTCGAACCTCAGCTGGCAGATAATTCGCTTTACGTTTTGTCTGGAAAACGCAAAATGAGAACACATCACCAGCCTACCACCACCATGCTTTGCAGTTGAGTATTTGTCATCCTTGAACGTTAAGATGACTCAATCGTATATTTTATCAACAGCACAATGTTTTTATTTTAAAGTTTTGTTGGCTTCATCTGACACCAGAGTCTCTCTTGGCATTTTCAGCTTAACATACCATTACCTCTGAGACTGCAGCATCCAATTAGGAGTTTGTCCTTGTTTCACCTCCCAGCTGCAAGGGAAGATGGGAGGCGAAGTTTCAGATTAAGTGGCTGGTTGGCAAGTCATTAAGACATGGGGAGACATGAGTGGGAAGACTAAAAATTGAGTAGGAGCACCTAGGGAGACGGAGAGACGCTGTTATCATGGCGCCTTTTAATCATGCATGCACTCTGAGGTTTTACGTGTAATTCTGCTAGTGGAGGCAGCTGTGAACATGTAGGAGAAAACTACAGAGGAACAGAGCTGGTGGTCTGAAGCTGTGATGTAATTGTGAGGGAGGGATGTCTGATTGATCTGAAACACTATACTGCCAGAGGACAGCTCTGGGACAATGCTAACCCCGTTACTGCTCACTGCATGCATGATGCTTCTGCAGAGGAAACCCTTTCATACCCTGAGAAGGAAACTGAAGATTCATCTGTTACTGTGTAATATCATCTCTGCTGCCTGGATAAAGAGCTACTGGCATCAGACTGTCTTCAGTCAGAGGCCTCTTCAGATTCACTGCAGAACAGACTGCTTTTGGATATTATTCCAGCCCACAGTGTTGCCATCCACAACGACTACAGATGCATGGATAATATGAGTTATGACACTTCATTTCCTTTTGGGATATATAATGTATTTTTAATTCAAATGAACAAATTCTGTTTTTTAGGTTTTTATTTGTGTCATTTTATACTCTACTTTCTGTTGGACTGCCCATAAAATTCCAATAAAATCTAATTTTGTGGCATCTATTATAGCAAAACGTGAACAATCTGAAGGGACTATTCATTTGTAAACATGGTGGTTGTGCTCACAGCTTGATTGCAGAAAGAGCCTCCCGGCCTTTAAACTTTTAACGGTTGCCATGGTTACCTGCAGTGATCATGTTGTTTTAGGATTAGCCAGTATGTTGTCAGCGTACTACAGCTGTTTATCACAGCCTGATGAAATACGTTATGCTACCAAATTGGCATTAGTGACCCATTACTGACCCAGAGGTGTTGCATTCAGATGAGTTATGATAAATGTCCCAAACTTCAGTCGCTGTACATTACTTACAAGGAATATTAAAGCAGTTTTACTTACTATACAGACAGCTTTCAATGAGGTATGTGTTGTCTAAAACTGTAAATCTTCAGTAAAATAAAACATGTTTAGAGTGCAAAGGACAAATGAGTAGTAACTTTTTTTAAAGGACAAATGAAGATGAAGCAGGTAGCTATCTGAAACTAAAAGTGTATCAAGCTGAACGGAGGCTGTGTGATGTACAGAGATGCTGAACCAAAATAAAACCTCTGACATCTGCAGACAACACAAACCTGTGACGGGTGAACTGAGGTGATCGCTGTTTGATCAAGTCGTACACTGGTTAGCTTCCATTGGCTAGGTTAGCTACCTGCTGATTTCTGCAGGAATAAAATGTCAATTCAAGATTGGGACAATTCATAGTGGTCCAAATGGAGACCAACCCAGTCAGTTTGATAGAGATGGAGAAATGCATCTGGTTGACTCTTCCTTACGTCCTCATGTGTGGGGACGCTGTCCCTCTTAATTGCCTCATAGCGTTCATCCAACCTGCTTCTGTCTCTTTGCATCTGGGGGGGAGCTTCCTGGTGACCTGTGTTTTGTTCTCTGCTGCCCATCTCTCCATCATCGCTCGCTGTGTTTGACTTTGTTTGATCGTCTGTCTGCCTGGCTAACCGGGCCGCTGTTCTGTCCGTGTGCTCACTGCAGTGAAAAACATCATGGCATTTGAAACAGCAGGACGCACTGTGTGTCTAAATGTCAGCTAAGCCCACTGGTAATAAACCCTCCCTTATGTCCCAGTGTCTGTGTTTTTCTTTGTCTTTTTGTTATAGTCTTCCACCAATTTATCTCTCTTCTAAAAGGAAAAAAAAACCTTATCCCAAAATAAAAACTGACTTTCTCGTGTGTTTCTGTCCAGGATCATCCATGAGGACGGTTTTTCTGGTGATGATGTAAAGCAGTACAAGCCTGTCGTTTACAGCAACACCATCCAATCTCTGGCTGCCATCGTCCGCGCCATGGATACGCTGGGCCTGGAGTACGGAGACAAAGAGCGCAAGGTCAGAAAAATGCTTTGCAAAATATATACACCACTTCCCAAATGAAATGAGTTGAACTGCAAACTCAAATGCTTCACAGTCACAACCAATCCAGTTTATTTATATTCATTTAAGCAACAAGACAGTCAACATGCTTTATATCATAAAAATATCACACAGTATCAACTGTGAAACAAGCAATAAGCTTTACATTTTGTCAAATATCATCATTAAACTCATCTACAGGTGAAATATGTTGATCCATGTTTCACAAATCAAAGGCAAACAGGTGGGTTTTTAGCTTTTATTGAAAAGGAGTTCAGTGTTTCAGCTGTTTTTGCAGTTTTCTGGAAGTTTGTTCCAGACGTGTGGTCCATAGAAGCTGAATGCTGCTTCTCCGTGTTTGGTTCTGGTTCTGGGGATACAGAACCTGAACCAGAAGACCTGAGAGGTCTGAAAGGTTGATATAGCAACAGCAGAACTTTAATTTTTTTTTTTTTTTACTGCTAAGCCGTTTATAAACTAACATCAGTATTTTAAAGTCTATTCTCTCAGTGAAGGACTGCAGAACTGGGTGATGCGCTCCATCCTCCTGGTTTTAGTCAGAACGCCAGCAGCAGCGTTCTGGATCAGCTGCAGCTGGAGGGCTGATGTTTCAGGCAGACCTGTGAAGATGCTGTTGCAGTAATAAATGCATCTAAAGATAAATGCATTGGATGAGTTTCTGTAGATCTTGCTGGCACATTATTTCTCTAATCCTAAAAATGTTCTTCAGGTGATAGAAGGCCGACTTTGTAATTGTCTTTATGTGGCTCTGAAGGTCGAGGTCAGAGTTCATCACTACACCACCACTATTTCAGTTTGATCTCTAGTTTCTGTAATAACTGGAGCTGTGCTGACTCTAGATTTTTCCTCTTTGGGTCTAAAGATTAAAATCTTCAGTTTTGTTTCTGTTCGGCTGGATAAAGTTTTGGATTTAGGATGAATTTGACCCACTAAGCTTTGCCTCCGGTTCCTGACACAGAAACACACTTCCTGTCTTTCATCCACCTTGAGTCCAGCTCTTGTAACGGACTCGCGTATCAGAGCACCACACTCCTCTACGCCCGCTTCTCTTCGACCTCTTATTACGTCTCTGCAGATTTTAATGGTTGCTTTGTAATTATCTCCGTCATGGTCGGTGTTGGAGAACACTACAACTAATGCACGTATTAACTCTTCCTTGAATGTAACGACTTGGTCATCAACTGGTGCTGGAGGGGTTTGTTAATGTTAAACCTCCATAAAACTGCAGGGATGAAGCGGCAACATTAATGATCAATCAGAAAACGGGACAGAGATCACATGACTCAAGCTGCTCAGCAGGGTCAGGTAAATGCTTACTCCACATCTTACACATGCAGTTTATAGAGTATTAATCCCTTTGTGAGGTGGCCCATGCTTTCTTTCCTGCTCTTTGTCTGTATAGCAGCAAATTATTGGTTATTGGAGCCATTTCTTGTGATATTTGACGTATATCTCCCAGATTTAAAGGCTAATTAAAAAGGCTGCCAGCCAACTCTGTCATGCAGAATTCCATCTTGTCAGGCTACGTTAGTCCTGCTTCTGCCTTTGCTAAATCCCCACAGCAGGCAAGTTCAATATGTAATACGCTAATTGGGGATTATGCATCTAATCCAAAGAATAACACCAGTTCTGTCTGAATTTGGAGCAATGGGGTAAAGGTTAATTAACAACGCAGGGACAAACCGTGACATAGCGCTTAGTTATATCCAACATCTAATCTGTGTTTTGCTGCGACTTTGGTGCTAAAACATCCATCAACAATCTGTAAAATCTAAGGTTATAGAAAATAAAGTTTGAGTTTGCTCCATTTAAATGGCCATTGCTCAACTTTGTGGGAAAGTTTTCACACAGGCTGTTTAACAGAAAACGTCTGTTGAACAGCCTGTTAAGCAAATTTATCTTTCAGTTTTGATTTTGACTTCAAACACACAAAACAGTATTTGAAGCACCAGCATAAGGCAAACGAATAAAGGAAAATCATTCTTTTATTTGGGAGCAATCTGGATTCAGAGACAGATTTGCATCATGTATTCAGTTCTCATTTTTTTATTATTTGTAAATTTATCTAAATTTAATCCCAAAATGATTCATATGATTTTGTTCATCTAAGAAGTTTGTGTTTGATTGCAGAAGAGACACAAATCAAATATGAAGCTATCTAAAAGGAGCATCAACAAGAAAAAAACAGTTTTTATCCACATTTTATTAAAAATGGCATGTTGAAAAATACACGCTTCTTAACTGAAAGCTCCATCTTCGAGGCTGTAAGGTCTCCATGCCATTACCATAATCTGTAGTTCCCTTCACAGATTATCTATTAGCCTCAAGTCAGGACTCTGAAGAGTGGAGTTGGTCAAATCTAAAGATGAGTTTGAATCTTATACCAGCCAGAGGTGTGAATCATTTTGAACAGCTCCATAAAACCTGCAGTGAGCTACTGACACTGAACTGAAATGAGTCAAAAACATTTCAAAACAACAACTGAATGTTTGTTCCTCAGTTCATTTACAGTCACTGCCAGATCGTTGTCCTGAGTTCCTGTTCTGCTGTCTGCCACAACTCTCTGAATAGTTTTTTTTTTTTTTTTCATTTTTGCACAATAAATCATTAATCTGCTGATTGCACGTTGCTGTCATGGTAGGTTCTGCATTTGGGTTCTCCTTCTGCAGCTACGTTTCACACAATGAACACTGTGCTGATGGCTTTAACCTCTTTCAAAGGCACAGAATATTTTTACTCACAGCCAAACTATTGATGTTCTCTGCTGAGATGAAATAACAATAGGCCTATTGATTAAGATAATATATCCGTGTGTGTATTGGAGTGTTTAGTACACATCGGCATTGCATTTCCTGTTAGAGGTGACGGCATCAGCTTTAAACCTAATGGACTGATGCTGCTGCTGCTGCTGTGTGTGGGTAGGTGTGTGTGTGCGCGTGTGTGTGTGTGTGGCGCCGCATTATGTTGTTAAATCCTGACATTTGAAAATATTGGATTGTAAACTGCAGAGAAATACTCTAAACAGTTAAAAGAATCGACCTCTGACTAAGGAAGACGGTTACTTTGATTTTTGTTGCGTCATTTCATTTGGTGAAATAAGTCGGTCCCCGATGTCGAGTATCTGAAGGTGAAGAATATTAAGTTTTCTCCATGGGGCTTCATTTCGTTATTCCCACCGCCTGAGGGCCTTGCTCCTGAAACCTTGAAGGATGCATTCAGACCAGCTGTGTTTAGTCCGCTTCAGTCGAACTCCAGTCGTTCATCCAGAAAGTCTGGTTCATTTGGGGAGGTGTGAATGCTAATCGAACTCTGATGCGGACTAAAAAATAAATTATTTGTTTCATCTGAATGTAGCTTGAGACAACTGGTCGGAGGCCTTTTTCATGCAGAAAGAAAAAACTTTGTCAATCCTCCACAGTCTGAAAATCAAATGCAATCGTGCTGTTTCCATTAAATAAGAGACACAACTCTTATTTAATGGAACATGTAAACAAGTTTGTTCATGCAATACGTCATTAAAACATCATCATCCTCTACCCACTTCCTGTCTTCCTCTTCATCCTTTCTGCCAAAAGTAACGTTCGGCTGCTGATCATATGACTCGCATGATGCGAAAAAGTGTTTTTGTTGCAATTTTGAAAAATAAAAACACACACACAAAAAAGCAAAAAAAACATTTCATCCTAACTTTTTACTGAAAAACTTGTTTTTTTTAATTGACGTGTTTCCATTAAGTCATGGTCAGTGGAAACACGTCTAGAGAAATGCAGAGATCCATGATGTGGTGAAACACATGAGAGGATGAAGGCAGATGATCTAAAAGTAGAAGCGTTTTAGGAGACAGTGGACATTAGACAGACAGAAGGACACAGTGAGCTTTGTGTAAACAACAGTCTGCACCTCACTTCCCCACCAAGGGGCCAGACACACTGATTCCCATAAAGCATCAGGAGTGTGTGTGTGTGTGTGTGTGTGTGTGTGTGTGTGTGTGTGTGTGTGTGTGTGTGTGCATAAACACACCTTTCCTTGTATTAAATGGTCTTTCTTTAGTAGTTTCTCAGGATGGCACTGATTGCTACCTTTGGCAGTCGCTCTCACCTCATCTTCTGTTAGCGCCACACCCACCCACCCCATCTGTTCCCGTGGCCTTCGCTGGTTGCTGTGGCAACCTGGTGTTTTGCCTTGCTCTCAACACATTCCACAAGCTTGTGTCCAAGGGCGGTGTGACACACACACACACACACACGCACACACACGGTGCAGGCTCGCGCAGTGACAGCAGGCCTGAAATAGACTGTGCTGCCACTGCCGTATGAAGCTTTGAGCACTTTTCACTCAGGCCTGAAGATATGAGCCACTTCACAGCATGTGGGAGCATCTCTATCTGTCTGGATGCTCCTGCAGTGACCTGTTCAGTTCAGCTTTGGGTTTTCATTGCTTCTTTTCCACTGATGCAACAAGATTTAGTCACACACTGCAAAAATTCAAAATCTTACCAAATACTGTTTGTCTCACTTCTAGAGCAAATATCTTAGAATATTTAAAAGAAAAGAAAACAAAGTTACAAGTAACTCTTCAGCAATGTATAGGAGCTTGATTAAAGTCAGTAATTCCTTAACATTGATGAAAAAAATCTAAATCTAGTTTCTTTGGCATGGAGAAAATGTCTTAATGATATAATCTTCCAGAGGAACTCTACTTAACTTGAAGTCCTATATCTTGCTGAAAAGTTACTTGTAAGTTAGGTTTTGTCTTATTTCAAGGTTAGTAAGATACTTGTGCTACAAATTAAACCAAGCTACTTGGTAAGACATGCAATGTTTTTGTCTGGTTCACAGCGAGAGGAATGAATGTTTCCATTAGAGGGAAGCTACATGTTTTATTAGCTGGTAGGTTCTGGGTTCAAATCCCAGCTTGACATCTTTCTGGATGAAGTTTCATGTTCTGCCCGTCGA